ACAGAATGGGCACGTCCTTTACTATCGGGGCTTGGCAGACAGAAGAGAACTGGGAGTGGGGTTCCTGATTCACAGAAACATAGCTGGCAACATAGAGGAATGCTATTGCATTAATGAAAGGGTGGTAGATATTGTAATTAAACTGAATAAAAGATACAAGATGAAGGTAGTACATTCTTACGCGCCTACATCCAGCCATGATGACGCTTCGGTTGAAAGCTTCTATGGAGACGTGGAATCGGCAATGAGTAAGGTAAAAACACAGTATCCTATAGTGATGGGCGACTTTAATGCAAAGGTAGGGAAGAAGCAGGCTGGAGACCAGACAGTAGGAGATTATGGCATCGGCACTAGAAACGCCAGAGGAGAACTACTAGTAGATTTCGCAGAACGCAATAATTTGCGGATTTTGAATACCTTCTACCGAAAACGAGAAAACCGCAAGTGGACATGGAGGAGCCCTACTGGCGAAAATAAGAACAAAATAGACTTTATAATGACTGCACACCCAGGAATCGTGCAGGATGTGGAAGTGGTTGGCAAGGTACGATGCAGTGACCATAGAATGGTACGGTCTCAAATTCGCCTAGACTTGAAGAAGGAACGACAGAAACTGATACGCAAGAAGCCAATCAATGAGCTATCATTGAGAGGGAAAGTACAGGAATTCAGAGTGTCGCTGCAGAACAGGTACTCGGCTCTTAGTGAGGAAACCAACCTTAGCGTAGATACAATGAATGATAATCTGACGAGTATCATTACGGAGTGTGCAGTGGAAGTTGGAGGCAGAGTAGTTAGACAAGACACTGGCAAGCTTTCCCAGGAAACGAAGAACCTAATTAAGAAGCATCAAATCATGAAAGTGTCAAGTAGAACAGACAAAGTAGAACTGGCAGAGCTTTCGAAGTTGATTAATAGACGTAAAGTATGCGATATAAGAAGGTATAACATGGAGAGAATTGAACACGCTCTGAAAAACGGAGGAAGCATCAAAGCAGTGAAGAGGAAACTTGGGATAGGTAAAAGTTGGATGTATGCACTAAGGGACAAAGAAGGCGAAATAACAACCAATATGGATAGGATAATTAAAATTGCGGAGGAGTTTTACAGAGATCTGTACAGTAGCCGAGACAACCACGACCTTAATACTATAAGAACTAGCAGTAACCCAGATGACACCCCACCAGTAATGATAGAAGAAGTCAGAAAAGCTTTGGAGAGCATGCAAAGAGGCAAATCTGCTGGTGAGGATCAGGTAACACCAGACCTGCTGAAAGATGGAGGACAGATTGTGTTAGAAAAACTAGCCACCCTGTTTACGAGGTGTCTCCTGACGGGAAGGGTACCAGAGTCTTGGAAGAACGCTAACATCATCTTAATACATAAGACAGGAGATGACAAGGACTTGAAGAATTACAGGCCGATCAGCTTGCTCTCTGTAGTATACAAGCTATTTACAAAGGTAATTGCTAACAGAGTAAAGAAAACATTAGAATTCAATCGACCAAAGGAACAAGCAGGATTTCAAACAGGCTACTCAACAATTCACCACATTCATACTATCAATCAGGTAATAGAGAAATGCTCATAGTATAACCAACCACTATACATAGCCTTCATAGATTACGAGAAGGCGTTTGATTCAGTAGAAATATCAGCCGTCATGCAGGCACTGCGAAATCAGGGCGTAGATGAAGTATATATAAACATTCTGGAAGAAATCTACAGGGGATCAACTGCTACCATAGTGCTTCATGAAGAAAGCAACAGAATACCAATCAAGAAGGGTGTAAGGCAGGGGGACACAATCTCCCCAATGCTATTTACCGCGTGCTTACAGGAGGTTTTCAGAAGCCTAGAATGGGAACAGTTAGGGATAAGGGTTGATGGAGAATACCTTAGTAACCTGCGCTTTGCCGATGACAATGCATTGCTGAGTAACTCAGGGGAGGAATTGCAACTCATGATTACGGAGTTAGACAAGGAGAGCAGAAAGGTGGGTCTTAAAATTAATCTGCAGAAAACGAAAGTAATGTACAACAACCTCGGAAAGGAGCAGCGCTTCGAGATAGGTAATAGTGCACTTGAAGTTGTAAAAGACTATGTCTACTTAGGGCAGGTAATAACCACAGAGCCTAACCACGAGATTGAAGTAACTAGAAGAATAAGAATGGGGTGGAGCACATTCGGCAAGCACTCTCAAATTATGACAGGTAGATTGCCACTATCCCTCAAGAGGAAGGTATATAACAGCTGTATCTTGCCGGTACTTAGTCACGGAGCAGAAACCTGGAGACTTACAAAGAGGGTTCAGCTCAAAGTGAGGACAACGCAGCGAGCAATGGAAATAAAAATGGTAGGTGTAACCTTAAGAGACAAAGAAGAGAGCAGAGTGGATTAGGGGACAAACGGGGGTTAAGGATATCATAGTTGAAATAAAGAAGAGGAAATGGACATGGGCCGGGCATGTAGGGCGTAGACAGGATAACCGCTGGTCATTAGGGGATATAACTGAATTCCCAGAGAAGGGAAGCGGGTTAGGGGGAGACAGAAGGTTAGGTGGGCAGATGAGATTAAGAAGTTTGCGGGTATAAATTGGCAGCAGCAGGCACAGGACCGGGTTGACTGGCGGAGCATGGGAGAGGCCTTTGTCCTGCTGTGGACGTAGTCAGGCTGATGACGATAATGATTATGATAATTCAAGGTGGGGAGCAGAAACAATAGTTGAAACAGACGGCACGTATTGTTCATATACAATCATTGATATCCCGAGTGACGTGTTTTCTTTCCTGTTTGACACATTTTTGCATCGCAAGAACACTGCAGCTTCGGTTTCACTCAACCGATTATTTCTGAAATTATATTTGACTAACATTCAACTCCTTTTCTTTTGTTGCTGCAGAATAGCATATCTTGTACTGATTACATCCCACTACTGCGTATCATTAGCAGCGTTACAGGGTAGGCGTGTAAATTTATTTTTGTTTTTCTGTACCAGTGGCAATTTAAATGGATACGTATAGAAGCGTCTCGCGTTATTTTAAAGACGAAGTAAGCAAACAGTGTATTCCGCTATCTGTGCTTTCCTCATCACAGTTTCTTGAAGGCTCATGAAGTAATAATTCATAACATAATTGCATTGCTGTGTGAAATAATTAATATCTCACAGTCACCATCAGGGCCTGCGTGAAATAAATGGCAGATTTTCTCGTTATAATTCTAGTTTTCTTTAAAACTGTGGTACTGAGTCCGCAGTCAGTTAGGCGATGCTACGGTACACGGCGGACTAGGCACTTGCCGTCGGCTTAAGCACGTCTATAACTGAAAGATTTTCAATGATCAGTTATACATTATAGAAATTATTGTCGAGATTACTAGCTTTGAATCAAACTTCATATTGATATTTATATTGGAAAGTTAGGCAGATCTCACGTACCTTGAAATGGCCATTTTCGAAGCAGGCGGAGGGAAGGTGACCGTGTTGTAATTTTTCATTGAGTGACACATTATGGATTGGTGCTAAATATATGTACAAATGTTGCACGCATAGACATATGTTGAACAGCCGCGGATGTTTAAATAACCAGTTGTTTGCACTTGCATAACGCTGCCCACAGGAACATGAGCAGTAGCTGTACCAGAAGCGACAAGCTGATATGAAGCGCTGGTGCTCGCGAGGAAGGTATTCCACCTGGACAGTGCTGCGTAAATGAACTTCAGTGGATGACACCTAACGACAAGTAACGTTAACCCGACGTGACGGCTATATCATAGCAGTACATATGTAACGTTTACAACCGGCATTCGCTATTTTATTCTTCGTCATTATTCTGAGAAGTGTGGTATCCACTAAACTATTGCGAGGAATTTTATGCCAATTGTTCATGCAGTGGCTGACGAGGATGAGGAATTATGGCTGAAGTGAGTATGTGTCACAATTATTAGGGAACAAGAACAAGCTTTTGTAATGGGATGGAGCATTGGAAGGCCCACTCGTTACACTATTTGCATTGTGTGATGACGGGTTGTTCTTTCGCTGTTTTAAAACACTTTATAGGTCATATTAATGCCATTGCTTTCCCGACATCAAGCCAGCCTAAGGCAAGTTTGCCAACAAGTCACGAACACCAGCGTAGATCAGTGGTACAATACTGGGCTGACTAAAATTATGTGTTTTCTCGCCGTTACTGGGTAGATATGAAGTGCCAATCACCTGTGGCCTATACCCAGATACCATTGGCACATACCCGCGGGTGGGTATGCGCCACTGTTTGGTAGGAAGTGTTTGAGAATGTAAGCGACGCAATTTTGACCTTATTCATGTCTTGACCAGTATGTCACATTCGTCAAACCATCTTACCTCCCAATGCTGATTTCGGCCCCGGCCAAAATAAGGGGGTGATCACGAGAGCACCCAGACGTAAATGGCAAGATAGATACATACACAGATATTTAGATATACGCCAAAAGCGCTTGCAATGCGCAAAAATGTTTCTCGCATTTAAAAATTATTCGCAATTATTAGTAATATTAATAACCTCACAGGTTAAATATGTTTTGTGAAATATCCATTCTGAATATTACTAGAAGTAAAGTGTCAGTGCGAAAACTGCTAGGTTTTGCTATCGCTAGTTCAGTTCGTGCCATTGATAATAAAGCGAACACAGGAAACCTGTAATGACAATTGTTGATATTGTTCATTGAACTGAAAACACCGGCTTTTGTATGTGAACAACCACGAGTAAATTGCTTGCTTAAAGCTGTGCCAAGCTGCTAAAATGAAATCATTGCTAATGCTCTGATAACCACCACGTCTCACCTGCTCTTTATCTGTCCATGTGCTGGCTTACGTGAAACAGATTTTGTAAGACTCAAGCCGTACTTTATCCTACAAAATTAATCTCTCATAACGTACATTCATTCTTTTTCACAGTAAAACTTCATCGCAAACTGCTTGCAACGGAATTATGAAGCATATAAAAAGATTAAACTACCAAAGCCATTCAGTGATTTTATTACTACTGTCCAAGAGATCAGCGTGGTTCTTATTAGCCTAATCAGGAAAATGAAACCAACTTTATTGCACGCTATGACTGAAACTTGAACATACGTTGGTATGAAACACTCAACTAAACGCATGGGTAGGGAATGAAAGTCTATATGTGGCATGTGCTGATAATGCTGTGTTTCTTTTTTCTTGCTTAGCGAAATTTCCAAGCAGCATAGAGTCAGCCTGACCAACCCAAATGAATGATTATAGTTTGACTGTTTAATGCACACCCGCCATCACTGGCTGAAAGTATAAACACTTGGAATTTTTTCTGCTGATGGAGAGCTTTCGCTATACCCATGCCAGTTCCACAACAGGTACGGCTTCGACGTCTCTATTCTGGCTCAGCTCCGCATGGTGTCGTTCCATTTGGGTAGTAATACGGGACGCCGTTCTTGCACTTCTGACAGCCAACATCTGTAGGACAATTAACATAATTGTGTATACACGTGCGTTGATACACTACCAATTTTTCTTGCACCGAATGGTGTACGTATTATAGTTGTTTAGAAAAAATTTATTTACAGCATGTACAGAACACAAAGGCTTTATACCATTCCAGTAACAGGGCACATACACTTCGGCACATCTATATTTCACGACTAACATCACTACGTTACAGTGTTGCTCTAATATACATGACAATGTTGGCATATATGTACACAAGAACTCAATGCGATATCAAGATACAATGGTATAACGATACAATAGATGCAATGTAACACAATATGTAACAATTGAAATCATATAAAACAACTCAACGGGCGCTGCTTAGCACCAAGTCGGTCAAAAAATGAGTTGTATTCTTTCGTGTTCCACCTTGGCGAAAGGGCATGACCAATGCCGCATAAACTCTTGCTCCCCGAGGAAGAAAAGCTTCTCGGAGAGGAACGCGAGGATCTCTCGTCTCATTCTCCCCAGTATCGGCCACAAAGCACGCCGGCGGCAATTGGCAGCTACAGCCTCACATCGGTTTCTCCAAAGGCTGAACAGCCCCGCAACTATTAACAGAGCGGAGAAGCGGCTACGCGGAAATCGGCCGTTGGACACGAAAGTTCGCACACCCTGTCCCCGAAAACCAAGAATGTGTGGTTTCCCGCCAAAACAAAGGCGGGAAACCACACATTCAGACGTCGCATGTCGATTGGTCTCTACCAGGACGCAGTTGGGGCAAGTGGAAGTGCGAACCACGTGCCATCGCTGCAACCGATCTCGCGTGGGGAGCAAACCCCAGCCCAACCTCCAGACAAAGTCTCTGAGATGCCCTGGCAACACTGTGGCAGTTATTGGTTTCCAAGCGCGGTTCATTACAGATTGACGATGCTGGGGCACCAAGGGCCGTAGAAGGGCGGCCATTGTGTCCACCACTTTAGAATCGGCCACCTCTATCTCTGGGCACGTAGCTTCCAAACGTTGGTGAACTGCCAGAAGGGCTCGATACAAATATGGTAATTCAGTTGATTGGGCACCTTGGTTTATTTGGCTATCCGGCAAGAGGATACGTAGTGATGGCCCCAGATGGTAGTGAGCCAGTGTCTGAGCGGGCATGCCATCATTGCTTAGTATTCGCAATAGAGTGCGGAGGCACAATTTAGAAGCCGTGACGGAAACGTCGGGGAATGCAAAACCACCTTGATCTCATGGTTGAGCTAACGCTGGACGCGATAACAATTCTGTGCCACCAGACCAAAAAAATGAACTGATGCAGCTTTGCACTTTCCTGCAGACGTGGAGCGGTGGCTTAACAGAATGGCAAAGGTACCAAAATTTTCCATGGTACACCGTTTGAGTTAAGCATCGGCGTTTCAAGAGGAGGAATTCGAAGTACCTGGCTGCTTTGATATCACTTAGAAGAGTTTGTACAACGGCTATCCAGATGCTATCTTGTATACCAAATGCAGTGAAAGTAACTCCGATTATTGAAATCTCAGGAGACCACTGCAGAGGCGACGTGATGTTGATACGACTGCTGGGGTTGCCAATGAAAAAATACTGGCTTTTAGAAAAGTTTAACCTTGCACCGGAGATAATAGCGAAATCATAGAATGTATCAAGAGCATGCTGCAGCGACTGTTCATTATGTACATATAGAGTAATATCATCTGCATATGCAGTGACCTTTACTTGAGTGTTACCGGGTAGAGGTAAGCCACGAAGCTGCGGGTGATGTTCAACAGCCCTTAAGAAGGGTTCTAATGGAAGGATGAATAACACTGGCGAGAGGGGACACCCTTGACGGACCCCACGCGTGACTCTAAATGCGTGGCTCTCACGGGAATCTAAGTAAAGGGTACTTTCTGAATTAGTGTGCATCGTGTGGATGAGGTCAATTAACTTATCCGGGAATCCGTATGCATGTGAAACATTTAGTATGTAGCCATGTTCTATGAAATCAAAAGCTTTTGATCTAATAAAACCAACGGTCCTTGCGCACATCGGCTAGTGGGGTATTGAATGATGTCACGCGTTAACCACGTATGGGTGTGTATTTCTCGGCCCGGAACAGAACAGACTTGGTGGGGAGCGTATAATTTTGCAAAAAATGGGCTGATTCGGCACGCCAAAATGTTGGCCAAGAGCTTGTAATCTACATTGAGCAGGGTAATAGGGCGCCAATCTTCTGGTCCCGTGGACATTGGGTCTTTCTTGTGAACTAGTGTATACGGCCTTTGTGGAAAGAGGTTGGAAGTGTAATATCTTGGAAACACTTGCGAATGATGCGTGACATAGTTGAACCAATGATAGGCCAGAACTGTACATTAAACTCTGCAGGGAGTCCGTCAGGCCCTGGGGCTGATCCCTTTTTCATTGCGTCTAATGCGCCCTTGATTTCGTCATCGGATGGCGGTGATAGCAGGACGTCATTTGACATGTTGGAATCATGAGGTAAATCTTTTAGCAGAGGATGCGAAGAAACGGATCGTGGGTAACAGACATTAGAATCAGATTGAGCCATGGACTGAAAGTGTTGAGTGAATTCCTGAAAGGCACGCGTACCCGCAGCAGCTGGGGCGGAAGAGTTCAGCGAGTGGGCAGGCGAGCCTGGTGGACAAAGCAGAGCTCTGCGTGCATACCTTAGCGCCTCAGGGTGTACACACGGTGCACGTCTACAGCGCCAAGCTGCAGCCGAGAGTGAAGAAGCGCGCATAATACGTTGTTACCTTTCAACGAGCTCCTCTTGCCATGCCCGCATTACAGTGGAAGGACTGGGATCTCGATTGGCAACGCGCATCTTCTGGATTAACAATGACGCATCTTTCAACATACGGGTGCAAAGTTCTCTGCCTGGCGCACTGCAATAATGGTGCCACTGTTCTTTGAGGCGATCCCAATCAGCTACATCCGCCCCAATGAGCGATGCGCGTAACGCTCGGGATAATTTCTCCGTAGCCTGAGAGTCCTGGAGGACGCGGAAATCGAGACGCCATGGTCTGTGAATCGTTGGCGTCCACGCTGACAGGCGGAGAGAGAACATAATCAGCCGATGGTCGCTAATGTACACTGGTGTTAATGGCAATGACATTACCTCGGTGTCGTGAACGTAGGTAATGAGATTGGGGGATGCATACACGTGATCAATTCGGCTGCTCGACGTTGCTCGACGCCAAGTATAGGCATAATGACTGTCATGCACACTTTGATGAATGTCACTCAATGCTGATTGCTGCACTAGACGTTCGAGTTCTCTGGCATTCCAGTTTGACTGGCCGCGACCCGGACCTCGAACGTCTGCGTGTGAGTCTAAGACACAATTGAAATGCCCTAAAAGTACCACAGGTTGGGAATTTAAAAGGAACGCATCAAGAGATTGGAAGAACGCGTTTAAGTTCACGCGTGCCGCTGGGGCATACACGGCAACAAATCTTATTCTTAACGAAAAAAAGGTGCAGTAGAACGCCAGCACGCGTCCGAAGGCATCGAAGGAAGCATGATGGCCACGTGAAAGACCTCGGTTAAAAATAATGACTCCGACGCCAATCGAACGCGTGCTGGTGTACGAAAAGAAACAATCAATATTGAACGCGCGCTTGAAAGCGAGTACATCAGAAAGCTTGAAAAAATTTGTTTCTTGCATGAACAGCAAATCACAGTGCACTGAACGCGCAAAAGCCAATACCTCAGCCTGTTTTTGTGGATTGCGGAAACCTTGAACGTTAAAAGTAATAACTTTTAGAGTAAGATGCATGGGGAAAATGAAAACATAGTATAAGATCACGCAAATGCAGGGGTACATTCATCAGGTGCGGGAGTCGGTGCCCCGCAAGTGGCTGAGTCATTTTTTCTGGCCAGGCGATCCACCGGAGGCTCGGGGCTTCCGGGATCGCGTCGAAGTCCGCAGAGGACTGCTGTCTCTGGTGGGGGGCTTCTAAGTCACGAGTAGTTATCCGGTGGCGTTTGGAGTCCGGGTTCTTGAGCGAGGATGGTACAAAGGCGTCTCCACTGTCCTGGCTTATGTCACTGGGGCTGGTGTCTTCGTCAATTTGTAGGGGCGCCTCACTCGCGGTGCTGTTGGAGTCCTCGCAGATGCAGGCGTCGTCGTCTTGAGATGTAGACTCCTCGGTGACACCTGAACTTGTTGTCGACAGAGCAGCAACGCGAGAAGCGTCAGATGCAATATTTCCATCCGAGACGCCGTCCTCACGAGGCACTTCGTCTGACGAGGGCTTGGCTTGCGATTCCTCAGAAATGGCCACGGGACGCGGTAAATTTAAGTTTTTCAGTACCTGGAGGGATTACCAGGTCCGGAATTGTTGGGGACGCAGTGGGCGTCTGGTGCAGCGTCGCGATTGGCGCACCTTGGTCATGGTCGGTTACCACGGCTCGCGTTGACGAATCGTCGCACTTGTTCTTAGATGGCGTTCCTGGTTGAAATGGAGGGAAAACCTTCGATGCCACCTCGGAATACGATGGCCTGATGGTGCAGGCCACGGTGGCATGCGGGTCCCCACAATGGCGACACGGCAGTGAGCAGCCTTTTCCGTCGTGGCCATAAACGCCGCACCTTCCACAAAACGGAGCAGTGCAGTTCATGCGTTAGTACCCACTGTCTCCACATCGACGGTACACTCGCTGGATGCCTTTATAGTCACAGGTTACTCGATGGCCCATGATCTTGCTGTAGCTGGGCACTGGTGGTGAAGCCTTCATACCCATGCGGACGTATCGCGTCCAAGTGGTCACGGTTGGGCGCGATCCCATGAGTCCTCTGGTGATGTGCAGCACCTTCCCGTAGGAAGCGAGTGCTTGTGCGAGAAATTCGCTGGGTACGCAGCACGGCAGGAACAGGACGGTCACTTGGGTCACTTGGGGTCCCAGGGGTACGATGGCGACGCGCTCTCCTCGGATGATGAGGTGCGACGCGTCTACGATTTGGGCCAGTGCGGCCTCACTGTTGACGGTAACTTGGTAGTTCTGGCCTCCAAAGTGCGTAACGCAGTACTACAATGAACGCTTACTATTGATATAAACATTTTAATAAACACCGTTGTGCAAGATCACTTGTACTATTTCACTCTTTTTCACACGTTGTCGTCCACATTAAGACTTTTGTATTGTAGAAAAAATGTTTTATTTTTAAGAGTTCAAAAGCTTGAGAGATGCCACCCTAATGACGAGCACTACATGATGACCATTCTGAAATGTTCTCCTATCTCTTATAAGGTACTCCTTTGAAAGTGTGCGACAATTTTGCGTGTATGTGGATGTGTACAAGGTAACCACGACGTTAATGCACTATCGGCCGAGTTCATGAGCCGAACTACCGCACCTGCACCTTCGAGGATAGTGTCAAACGCAAAAGTGTAACTCAGTCTTGTGTCGTGGAGGCCATCGGTTGAATCCCATTGGTCATATATAGAGGGGAAGGGGGGGAGGTTGTGTTATGATTTTTAAGTTTTAAATGCAAAGCGTTTCTTAGCGAACTTCGGCGACTTTGAGCGTATCTATCTATCTATCTATCTATCTATCTATCTATCTATCTATCTATCTATCTATCTATCTATCTATCTATCTATCTATCTATCTATCTATCTATCTATCTATCTATCTATCTATCTATCTATCTATCTATCTATCTATCTATCTATCTATCTATCTAGCCACCTACGACGTTTAGATCTCCTGGCTGTTTCGATAATAGTATCAATTCCAAACTAGGTATGGCCTAACATGACTGTAAGAAGAACATATTTGACAAGTCATAACATAAAAATCACAAAGTTTTTGTCATGAATGTCATGATTTACATTTCATGGTCATGCAGCTCTTGCGGTGGTTTCGTTTACATGGCATGTTGAAAAACGGGTATGGTATGGCATGATTGCATGGCAAACACAAGTGACAGACCCTAACATGAAAATCATTAGATGCGTGTCTTATAACAACATGACTACATGCCACGCTCATGATGCACTGGCGACCGTTTCGCTAGCTTCACTTATACCGAATTTGGTAATAAGGGACGTGAATGGATGATGAAGGTATGATGGTCTAGTGGCTAAGGTACTCGGCTGCTGACCCGCAGGTCGCGGGATCGAATCCCGGCTGCGGCGGCTGCATTTCCGGTGGAGGCGGAAATGTTGTAGGCCCGTGTGCTCAGATTTGGGTGCACGTTAAAGAACCCCAGGTGGTCGAAATTTCCGGAGCCCTCCAATACGGCGTCTCTCATAATCATATGGTGGTTTTGGGACGTTAAACCCCACAAATCAATCATCATGGTATGATACTGTTGCAAACATGATAAACATGAGACGTGTGTCAGGTAACAACAGGACTACATGGTACGCTCATGATACATTCGCGGCCATTTCGTTAGCTTCACATGTACCAAACTCGGTATTACGCGACGCGAATGGATGACATAGGTAAATGACAAATCCAAACATGATTATCGCGACATGCGTGTCATGTAACAACTCGACTACATGCCTCGCTGATGATAGATGATGTGCTCGCCACCATTTCGCCAGCTTCACATATGCCGAATTTGGTATTATGTGACGCCAATGGATGACGAAAGTATGGGACAAGTGCAAGCATGATAATCATGAGATGCGTGTCATGTGAGAACATGACTACGTGCCACAGTCAAGGCGCCAATTCATTTCGGGCACTGCACCATGTTCCCTCCGAGCTGCCGAAATTAGGTGCCTTTCTCCTCTTCTAACCACTACCACCACCAATACATTTTGACGTGACACAGTGCGCGGCTCGCCGGCGCTCATTTCGTCGCCTCACGCCAGCGTAGCTACGCCAGGAGCTGGTCCTGCCATTTACTGGCAGGCGCACGCCGCACTGCGTTGCTTTGATGCATACGCGTTTCAGCGCGTCCGGTGTCCCTCTGTCACGAAAAGAGGGAGACACAGTGTTGTCTGGGTAACGCATGGGGCGCAATGCAGCATGTCGCTTTTCGCGCTGGTTGCCGTCGGGCTGCGCCAACGGATGCTGGTCGCGCCTGGCGTCATACTTTGGTGTGATCGCGTTTTGCTAACGTAGCGCCGCTGTGCCCAGCGTGCGCGTGCGTTAACGCTACATAGGAGTATATTGGGCCCTTCATGATGCGTTCATGGCGATTTCGCAAGCTTCACATATACCAAATTTGATTTCACGGGACGTCAATATATGGTGAAATAAATGCATCTCATGTAAAAACATAACAACATACCTAGCTCGTAGCGTGCTCGTAGCCGTATCATTAGCTCTATATATACTACATTTGGTATCACGTGACGTGGATAGATGACGAAGGTAACCGACACATCCAAACATCATAATCATAGCACGGGAGACATCTACGTCATCATTCACATCCACCTCGTAACGTTGTGCTTATTTTAAAGTGACATATCAACATTTGTCATTCGTGCTTCGAATTTTTTCGATTACGACCGTAGATAGGATCCGCCATTTTTTTAAGTTTTTAATCTTGTAATCATAGTTTAATTATGCATAATTCAACTATGATTACAAGGTTTTGTATTCATCCAATAGTGGTGCTCGTATTAAGTGCAGGTTTACTTGGAAATCTTCAAGTGCGATATCAAAGCATACACTTACAGCTGCATCGCTCCATACACTTTTCTAAAGTGCTAAACCAGTTGTCGCCATTCCCACATTTCTTGCTTTGAGACTTGTGACAGGTGTTCGTTTGAGTATCGAAAAACCAGTGCTTCTTTCTTACCACGCAAAGCCACCAGCTACTTCTTGGCTTCACGCTGCAGACAGGTTTTGGTTTTGCCATGCCTGGAACATGAAATGAAAGAAGTTATAGTGAACCTTCACAGAAAAAATTTACGTAATTTATTTTGGTATGGCTTTATGTGGCAAAGATATAGTAAAATAAAATATTTTCAACTATAATCAACCGATCCCAAATGCATGCGCAATAATCACTTTATATATATATATATATATATATATATATATATATATATATATATATATATATATATATATATATATATATATAAATATAAATATATATTTATATTTATATATATATATATTGCGAGTAATAATTAAATGGGCCATTTAGTCTTCGTGAAGGTATGGGATATGGCACAACGGGAGCGTTGTCAACAAGGATAAATATATTTCCCAACAGTTTCGGGAGGGGTCCTCCCTTCATCAGGGTATGAGTTATCCTGACATGAACTTCCAAACTTCGTTGCTGCCGCGTCCCTCTTGCCTTGAAAGATGTTTGCGAGAGTGAGAGGGAACTAAAAAAAGGAAAGAAAAAACAAAAAAGGGGGAAGAAAAAAGACGAAAAAGAAAAAAAAGAAAGAAAGTAAAAAAGAGGAAGAACCGCTGTCAACACTGAGAACGAAAGCAACTGTCCGCGTACGTTCACATACGGTTCTTATCATGCGCTGTTCAGTTCTTAACGTGTGTCGGGCCACCCAAGATTGTCGCCGCGGTGCCGGGAGGGTTCGTGACGGCGTGCGTAAAGAAAGGGTTTCCCCTTAATGGGTCGGTCGGCGTGCGGCGTGCGTAAAGTAAGGTTTTCCCTTTAATGGCTCGGGCAGCTCTTTACCTAACGAAAATTAAATGTAAAGAGCTGACCGATCCATTAAAGGGAAAACCTTTTACGCACGCCGCACGCCGACCGACCCATTAAGGGGAAACCCTTTCTTTACGCACGCCGTCACGGACCCTCCCGGCACCACGGCGACAATCTTGGGTGGCCCGACACACGTTAAGAACTGAACAGCGCGTGATAAGAACCGTATGTGGACGTACGCGGACAGTTGCTTTCGTTCTCAGTGTTGACAGCGGTTCTTCCTCTTTTTTACTTTCTTTCTTTTCTTTCTTTTTCGTCTTTTTTCTTCCCCCTTTTTTGTTTTTTTCTTTCCTTTTTTTAGTTCCCTCTCACTCTCGCAAACATCTTTCAAGGCGAGAGGGACGCGGCAGCAACGAAGTTTAGAAGTTCATGTCAGTATAACTCATCCCCTGATAAAGGGAGGACCCCTCCCGAAACATTTCGGAAATAAATATATTTATCCTTGTTGACAACGCTCCCGTTGTGCCATATCCCATACCTATATATATATATATTTGTATATATATATATATATGTATATATATACAAATATATATATGTGACGTATCAAGTGATGGTTAGTAGAGGTAGAGAAGGAAGAAGTCAGAGTAGAATAAACATGGGGTATGAGCCAGGCCACGTCTCCCATTCATCATAGCGTCACACGAGTCGACAGGATGAAGACCTACCAGCCCCTTCATAAGTCGCTCATCATCTACGCAGTCCTCCGCATGACACCCTGAGCATACATGGTCTACCGTACAAGCGCCTAGCAATACGCATAGACCAGCGTCATGTCAGAAGCATCTACTGACCTTCCCATCCCCAAGTACACCGGAGCAGCGGATGATGGACCCGTACAAGACTGGTTCGACCTGTTCGAGTTCCACGCTACCGCTGCATCTTGGTCGGAACGGGAGATGGTTACGAACTTCAGTGACTACGTCACCGGTGAGGCATTCAAATTTTACCTTATTCACATATTCGAGAACGACGAGTCATGGCGAAAAATCAAAGAGGAGATGATTACCCGTTTTAATGACTATGACCAAGACTTACTTACTGCCAACCATCTAGAGACAACTGCACACTATCGTCAATTTGCCAAGCTGTCCTCAAGCATTCGAAAGTCCAGCGCGAATCGCCAAATGCCTCAAGACGAAGTGGCACATGCGTTTACTTACAGAAGGCCATGCATACATTGGGGAAAACCCAACCGTCAAGCGCGTCTCCCTTGTACACGAAAGTCGGCATTTCCGAAGTCATCGATTCAGCATATTACACGAGACGTTGCTGAACCACCTGATGCCCTGCACTCTTCGTCTCGCATACGGGGTCCACCACCTGGGATTTCGTCACGTGGTTTTTCAAGCACTCCTATCGCTCACCATTCGCCTCATAAGGACACCGCAACCTCGGTAGACGACCTAACGCTTTACGAAAATACCCTGTCAAGCCATGCTCTTTCCGGACATGTTAATTCATCACCGTGCGGTGCACACACACTGGACAGTCGAAGCAAAGCAGAAGGCTCAGACGCATCGAACGTCGCACGCTACCAGGCGCAAGAACTACTCGCAGTGAACAGTGAAAAAGAAGCCTCTGAAGAGCTTCGTGTCATCTCTACGGCACCGCAGACTTGCCAAAATCTGCAGTTCAAACCTAGTAATGCCATGTCACCTGTGGTGCCCAGATGCAGAGCTCACCAATCCAAGAATCGAACAAATTTAGAAGTGCATGATACATCAAACCTTGTACAGAGTTGTCTTTCGGAAGCGCCCTTAATGAACCCCGTCACCGAAGCCTCTGAAGAGCATGCTAGCAATGATGACGCATTGCCAACTACGCCCGACAAGCAAGACACCAGTTCACCATTCATCAGGTGTCTACAGGACGCGTCAAACACCGAACGAAATGAATGCCCCATTCCGGAACGGGTGCCACTACAGCCATCTCCTGAGCAGCACCAGCAAAGCAAGCAAAACGAAGCTCACAAACTCAGAAAACAACGAGATAGACTGCAACGAGGGCATCGGGGAAAGCCAAGTTCAATGGAAGCGCATTCACCAGTTGAAGAACATCGAAAAATAAGATCTCCAAACCAACAAGACGTCAGACACTTTCGGATAAAGAAAAGTCGCCGGAAACACTCTCAGCGCCTGCTATTCCACCGACTGCAATACCACAGGAAGCGCCGAGAAAGACGCGGAAGCACTGCTTGCAAACAGCAAGCACTCAGGCACTCCATCACAGTCTGTCGAGAAGCACGCAAGCAAGAAGCATCGGGATTGCACCATTCACGGCGAAAAATACAACCCCGACGACATCCGAGCTGCCGATGCAACAAGGCATTTGAAACTTGGTCAGCCCGAACAAGAGTTCTAGCAGTACTGTCAGTATCCACGTGTATCCCGCTCTGTCCGGAACGCAACAGTCAGCCTCGCCCACCAGAGTTGTTATGAAGTTCACCGGACTGCTCCCTCGGGCATGAAGCTTTGAAGAGACTGTGGAACTCCATCGGGACGTGATACTGCTAATTTGGACATTGTCTGTTTATTGGCTTCTTCAATTTTTTGTAGGTTATAAACGGTGCCATCTTTCGGGGGGAGGGGGAATTGTGTGACGTATCAAGTGATGGTTAGTAGAGGTAGAGAAGGAAGAAGTCAGAGTAGAATAAACATGGGGTATGAGCCAGGCCACGTCTCCCATTCATCATAGCGTCACACACACACACACACACACACACACACACCACACACACACACACACACACACACACACACACACACACACACACACACACACACACACACACACACACACACACACACACACACACACACACACACACACACACACACACACACACACACACACACACACACACACACACACACACACACACACACACCACACACACACACACACACACACACACACACACACACACACACACACACACACACACACACACACACACACACACACACACACACACACACACACACACACACACACACACACACACACACACACACACACACACACACACACACACACACACACACACACACACACATATATATATATATATATATGCGGTAGAAAATTTCGGCAGGTGGGCCTGCCTTCGTCGGAGTGAATGGATACACGTGCACACAGGGCACATATATAAGCCGCTTCTTTGCCTATCACACGGCTAAGTCATTATCAGTAGTTTCGGAAACAAGATTATATATCACCAAAGGTACGTGGCTATAGTGCATATACAGCTGAAAACGCGTATCATTATGCAATAGTGAATTGGCACGTATTAGATACCCTACAACTTGTGTGGAATGAAACAGGTCAGCAAAATAACAGACTGCGCTCGCAGTAGCTCACTTTGGCCATACGTTGTGCGTGATTTAGGCTTTGATTATCCCGCAGAACGTATGACCAAAGTAAGCTACTGCGTGCGCAGTCTCTTATTTTGCTGACCTGTTCATTCCACACAAGTTGTAGGGAATCTAATACGTGCCAATTCACTATTGTATAATGATACGCGTTTTCAACTGTATATGCACTATAGCCACGTACCTTTGGTGATATATAATCTTGTTTCCGAAACTACTGATAATCACTTAGCCGTGTGATACGCAAGGAAGCGGCTTATATATGTGCCCTGTGTGCCATGTGTAACCATTCACTCCGACGAAGGCAGGCCCACATGCCGGAACGTTAGTAACACTAGTGTTCTTTTCGCACGTTTGTCGACTTCTTTTTCTACCGCATTTTCCACCAGATTCATTGAATTTCACCCCACCATATATATATATATATATATATATATATATATATATATATATATATATATATATATATATGATGAAATATATGATGAAATAGCGGCTAGAAGACGAGCGAGAATAAGATCGTCTACGCCAGCTGATGGTGAGGGGAAGAATATCTTGCTTCCCACGTTAATTGTGGCTTGTGTTTGAAGAAGCTCATTCAATAAATATTGATTAACTGCCCTGTCAATAATTGCTTCTTATGGTAAGTAAAATACTGCTGGGAAATATGTTGCATGTTTTTCATTTTACTCACGAATATTTCTTTCATAACAGTCGTGCTTTTAGAGGGATTGTTTGTTCTGAACGTAAGGGAAACCGGTATTGATTGCGTGAACGGCGTAGCTTGGAAAAAAAAAAAAACTATTGCCACTGGGTAGTCCTGTCACTAAATAATTGAGGGCAGCCTTGCAGGTCATACACAAGAACATACATAGCTCCATTGATGTTGCTGCCATAGGATTTGTGCAGCTGAATGATTTCATGTTTAACTTAAAAGGGCCATGACACGGTCCCCCAATAATAAGGAGTTGTAATAAAAAACTACACGTAGAGCATCTATCACGCCTTTACACACTGAGAAAGTTGGTTGCAAAAGAGTATTTCAGTGCAAAACAAGCTCTGGAAACAACCCGTGTGAACCACGCCCACCGCTGGTAACCGCTATTTTACTGTAGCACGTGGGACGTCATGTGAAGTCGAGAGCGGAGTCATCGCGTTAGGGGCAAGACCCGCAAGAATGAGGTTTGTCCGTTGGTGGCATTGGCGTGCACCGTTGCGGTGATGACGCTGAGGACGATGATCGTCACGTACAACGACTGGCTTGTACAGTATATGGCGGCTCAATATGCTCTATGGTGTATAATGGCCGAGAATAACGAACAACTATTAGGGGAACGTGCACAAACCTCGTACTTATCGAAATTCAGGCTAAATCCGATACCACAAAGCAGTGATACGGAAGGCAAAACGAAATTCGAAACTCAACACGACATATCATTTATGACCAATAAACCTTGCATACAAGTGTACACCACTTTGTCACTGATGTATGTACATGCGTGAGTCGTCAATGTCATGCGTGGTTTACAGTAACACCGAACAATCCCATTGCCTCACCCACTCATATTCATTCACTTGGTGGATATGCTGTGTCTTGTGTACCAAGTTTGAGCCACTACAAATTGATCAACTTTATTGTCAAGCTGTAGAAACCATTAACATTTTGACTTCACGCGGATCTGCTCATGGAGTGATATCGTTCTCCCAAGCGTGACCGCCACGCTAACAAGGGTGCTGTTGTAGCGTCATGGCTTGCGAGTGTGCCAGTGCAGCCAAACTCTCAGGCACCTGACGTGTTTATAAATACTATTCAACGATGAATAAGCACTTTATGAAATGCACTAAAATTTTGCCAGCTTACTTGTAGATGCGTACTGATTGACGCGCATACCATAGATTATCATCTAAAATTGGGTGTCATGGGCCCCTAAAACTATTGTGTCTTATAAAACAAAATGGTCCCTCGATGCATTCCTCTCTTTTCGTATGCCGAAATCACTGTTTGTACATTGCGATCGGTAATATCTGTGTTTCACATAAACAGTTAAACATGTAACGTGATAGGCACATTTCTTGAGGGAATAAGAAAAAAAAGGTGATAGTTGATTTCAATACGCCCCCAAGAGTACGTTGTGCACTTACGTTGACAAATTTTCATGCAGTCCTCTTCTGTTTCAAACCGGTTCACTCCACCTGCACACTTTGTGTGGTTGTACATCCTACAGTAACCTCTTTTGTGGTCGAAAAACCACGATCGCGCATCAGCGGTGCAGTTGCACGTTTCTGCTGCTTCCAGGCATCTATTTTGCTTTCTTCCTTGAACACCTGCAGAAAACAAAAACAAATATTCACTCCTTCGAGCATCTCCTGTGACACTTACGGCTTGCGAAACCTCTGATAAGCATCGAGGTTAGATGTGACATGACAAAAAGTTTTTGTATTGCATTTAGGTTTTAAAATAGTTTAACGTCACCCGCTAAGAGATTCATCCTGATTTTGCAAGTGCAAACTAAAAAAATATAGAACATTAGAATGCATCACAGTAATTCGGAATTCTTAGGTGCTGTGATACTATATAAGGGTATTTATTACAGAATAATTCCCTAAATAAAGGCGTAAGAAAAAACTACAAAAAATTGACGAACAGAAATATTTTTTTTTCTCATTCCTAAAGGGGGATTTACCATGAAAAAGTCATATTTTTAAAGTACAGTAAACAGTAAGCGCTTGCAATGAGTACAAGAAGAAAGTTTCTAGAGTGTTTACCGAATAAATAAGACTGTTAGACTTCTACAGTATTGTATTCTTAGTGCCAGACCAACTCAGCAGTGGACATAATATTTTGGTAGCGACCGCCTCGTCACGAGTAATCAGACAGATACAAATGCCTGTTTACTATGAAAAAACGCTCATGAAGTACCCAGAATTGTCGAAAAGCATATAACTCCAATTACAACGAAGAATCGACTGCCACTATAGTTCTACATAATGAAAGTGAGAGAATACCAATAAAAAGGGTGTAAGGCACGGAGATACGATCTCCCTAATGCTATAAACATTTTTTAGAGGGGGTTTCAGAAGCCTTGAGTGGAAATAGTCGGAGATAAGAGCTAATCGAGAGTACCTTAGTAAATGGCGTTTCACCGGTGACTTTACATTGCTCAGTAACTATGGGGAAGAATTGTAACCCATGATTGCTGACCTAGACAAGGAGAACGGAAAGATAGGTCTTAAAATTATTCTGCAGAAAGTGAAAGTAATGTACAACCTCAGAAAAGAACAGCGCTTCCAGATAGGTAGCAGTGCACTTAAGGTTGTAAAACAGTGCGTATACTTCGGACAGGTAGGACCCATGGAGCCGAACCACGAGATTGAAGTAACTAGAAGAATGAGAATGGGGTGAAGCACATTTGGCAAGTATTCTCAAACCATGACAGGTAGACTGCTACCATATATACCTCAAGACACAGGTATTTAACCGCTGTGTCATCCCGGTACTTACCTAAGGAGCAGATACCTGGAGACTTACAGAGAGGTTTCAGCCTAAGTTGAGGACGACGCAGCAAGCCATGGAAAGGAAAATGATAGGCGTAACCTCAAGAGACAAGAATAGCGCCGAGTGGATCAGGGAACAAGCCAACGCTATATCTGATCAGGGAACAAGACACAGGCTCGGCCCGTAGCGTCTAGGCAGAATAACCACTGGTCATTAAGGGTAACTGACTATACTCCGAGAGAGGGGAATCAGATGACAGGGAGACGGAAATCTAGGTGGGCAGATGAGATTAGCAAATTTGCAGGTGTAATGTGGCAGCAGCAAGCCCTGGACTGAGTTTTCAGGTGGAACGTGGAGGATGCCTTTGCCTTGCCGCGGGCGTAGTCACGCTGATGATCATGATGATAATGATGCTGATTACAATCTAGTTACTGCTACGTACGGGCAGACAAAATGAAAATTACTACCACTGGGCGGCAGCAAAACAGCCACTATCACATTCCTTGTGACGCTTCAGTAATTTTGAGAATGACACCTTCGGAGTGCACAGCTTTGTGAGCTCCCAAGTAACGACGATAGTTACAGCGCGAGAGCAGCACGACGACAAAGAGACAAGAAGGACACGAGCGCTCGTGTCCTTCTTGTCTTTTTGTCGTCGTGCTGTTTTCTCGCTATAATTATCGTCATGTCATACCAACTAGCCCAATCTGGCACATTTCCAACTCACAAGTAATTTCTTGTCACGCTGCAAAGTGCACGTTTTTTGAGCTCATGTTAAAAAGGAATTGTGGCGTGCAGAATTTTTCGTACTTTCGAAGTAAGGTGACAGGTAAAGAGAGTATTTATTCGGCATTTAGAACAAGGTGGAAAATCTATGAATATAAAACTCAACAAAGGATATGTACTCACGTATGCATGTATTTTGGCAGCTCATTTGTGATGAGAAATGGTTGTTGCCTCCTATGCAGAGACCCTTTTTCAACTTTCTGCACTTGTATTCCGTGTAATTGAAATAGAAAACCTTGTGGAATGGTCGGCAGATGCCGAGAGCGGGTGGTTTGAGGCACCGATGCGGTGTTGTCTCATGCTGGGCTGAAAAACATATATTGCGAAATAAGCATGTGTTAACATGTAGGAATGTGAACTTAAAGGCTCAATTTTCATTGTATGACACAATATTAAGGATAAATTATAGACAATGACGCCAAGAGAAGTATAGAGGGTGTTAATAAAAGTAATTGTAACGTAAATATGAAGGAAGAAAAGTGGACGATATGATATCTTGCCACCAGGAGGATCCCAACCCGTCAATTTTGAATAACGTGTCCGATGCTCTTCCACTGAGCAATGGTGGCTGTCATTCCTCCATCCACTTTAAGGGCTAGCTCTTAAACGTAGAAGTGTCAGTCAGCGGCACCTGTTGCCATTGCGATGACGGTGGAAGATTCTTTTCGCCGGTTGTTGTCATGTAGTGCATGATATTATTACGAGCTGTTTGCTGACCAATCATCCCTCGCATACTAACCGAAGGCACAACACCATCCAGAACGAGACCCTCGCTCTGAATGAAGGACCTCACTTCATTCATTGTCTGAAGAACCATATAAGTATGTATTCCTAAACGAGACATAGCCTCTCAACCAGCTCATAGGTGGGAACCCAGCCCGGTAACCTGCAGGAAGTGAATAAAGCTGTTCACTCACTCCTAAACGAGTATGTGCCGCTGAATTGTGTAAACCTCACTATTCATCACAGCTCTATACTAAAGATTTGATCAAAAGTGCAGAAGTTAGCCAAGCAGACGTGCCATAGAAATTGGATAAATGCTACTTGTCTCCACTCATCAAATAAAAATGAAGAAAACAGGAGTTAACCAAACGAATGGCTGTAAAGTGACTGCGGTGAGCTGAAGACCCCGCGTACATGCTATGAGGTAATACTAGTTAACGGGTAATACATCAGTGGCTCCGAGAAGACCGCGGAGTGATGGAAAGCCTACGCCAACGACAATGCGCCTCTATATCTATGAATGGGGGGAAGCTTGACCTCGGTGCGAATTTCTCCCTCTAGAGTTCGGACACATACATACTATGCCTATGACTGCCCATGGTTTAACTCGAAGCTCTCTGCGTAGAAACTAATGTAAAAAAAAACTGTAGCATTACCTAGGTGAAATCAAGCAGTCACCCATAAACAACCTAGGAACAACCTTCACCACCACTTAGCTAAATAATAGAAGGAACGTAGAAACAACCAGATTAGTTATCAGAACCATCAAGTCTCGAGGCTTCAAGATTTGTTACGCTTAGTGGAAGAATCGATAAATTTTTAGTTGTAGTTTTGCACATTTATTTTTATCCGTGTTACTTTTCGTTCACATGAAAGCGCAATTAGGCTTGATTGAATAAGGATTCAGATAGCTACCTATATGCAGAAAGCAGGAGTAATGTTTTTTAGGGCAAAACTGTTATGGTTCAGGTTCGCCATGAAGTGTATCTAAAAAAAAACCATCTTGGACTGCCATGCTCTACTTGATCCCCACGCAAGCACTTGTAGAAATGGTTAAGAAGATGAGCTTAAACATTCAGTCTTTATTGGTGTTTGCCGCCCGTGTGTTAGGTGAATAGATGGGTCAATGAAAGGACTTTACTGCGGCCAACTAGGTAACGCTAGTTTCCCAGTACGCGATGAACTACTGGCAGTTTAGGACTGAAAGGCCTAACATTTTCTTAATTTCATTTAGCCCAAGTGGTCCACAATGAAATTTGCTTAACCTTGTTGACACATACTTGATAATGCTGAGAGTAAGCATAGCCATGTGAGTATAGTATAGCAAGGGGTGGGAGAGAAACAGGCTTAGAGGGTAAAAGCAAAGCCAGCTCCAGGTAGGTGCCTTAGAGCTCTGCCCTTACTGAGTCTTCCGCAAGTTAAAGACGACTGCGCGATAGTTTTAGGGGTGAAGCTCCTTAAGGCGTGGGTCTGTACATCCTTTGATGTTGTCGTACGTAGCCACCGGTCACAGAAGAGGCGAGATGGGAATGGCGGTACTTGGAGTGTTCACTAGATGGACGCACGGACCGATGGACAGGCAGACTAGCAGACGGATGGACGGATTGATAGATGCACGGACGTATGCATGTATGGACGCATGAACAGGCAGACAGACAGATGAATGGACGGACTGATGGACGGACGCATGAACAGACGGATGGACGCAAAGATCGACCCATGGATGGCCACGCGGACGGACGGAAGCAAGAACGAATGGACAGATGGAAGCACGGACGGGCTGACGTATGCTTCGCCCCACTCATCATAATTCACTCCGTGGATATGCTGTGATTTTTTTTTTCAGATATACACAAATGACAAGAAGGTGATGGTAATTTTCACAAAATCGTTTTGCAAAAAGAAATGTCTTTTTTGCTTTCAATTTACCCGTGCAGCACACCTAGCGCTTTAGTGGCAAGCCTATAGTATTTCATCTGTTATTAACCATAAAAAATTAAGTTAGAACAGAATCACGATGGAAGGACATAAAAAAACTAAATTGCATTATATAGCGAGTGCACGGTGCTCAACTCGGCTGTCTATACTGATGGAGCGTCGTGCGCGGAAGAGCACGGGTGACATCTGCAGTTGCAAATACGCCACATCTGAGCATGCGCGGAGCCAGTGCTATGCCTGCCTTGCAATACTGATCCCTGTTTATCACCGCTGATGTAATAACCGCTTTGACCATCGAAAGGGCTCTGAACTATTTAGTAAAAAAACAAATAACATGCAAAAAAAATGGAGCCAACTGTTCTCTCTGTGATATATCTCGAAGCGAGAATGAGTTTAGAGTATAAAGGACGCCTAGCTCGGCACTTGCTTTCCTTCTGTTTTATTTTCTTTCGGGGGTATAATTTTGACAGCGCTTTGATTGCCACAGCAGTCATCACGGTCGCGGAGATAAATAAGGGTGGAAACTGCAAGGCAGGCCCATCACTGGCACCGCGCATGCTCAGATGTGGCGTAAATGCGACTGAAGATGTCGTTCGCGCTGTTCCGCGCGCTACGCTCCGTCGTTATGGACATGAGAGTTGAGCACTGCACATATGGTTCAATATGTAAGGCTGTATTATTATATAATTCGCAGTCATGGTTAAAACACACACATCTGGAATTAATAAAAAGTCTAGGGAAGTAACAGTGGTCTCTCTCTTCACTGTCGTAAAGTGAGGTTATGGCCCGTTTTTACTTTTCATTGCATTGCTTTTCAACGCATTTCAATGGATACTGCGAAATCACACTTCTTACTGCATGCAGTTATTTTGTCTGGCATAAAGACAATGATACCATACATTCAGCCGCACCTTTAGAAACACACAGGAAGGAAATTAGTATAATGTCAGCTGCTTTTTATGTGTAAGTATGAGAGTCAAAATTCTGAAGAAGTTTTTGAGATTTAGCACTAGCACCAAGAAACCCGTTCAATACATGATGAGCACGAAAAGGTATTTCCACTTACCTAACTACCGACACACAAAGCTACTATTTATTCATCGGGTGCCAAGTTTTGCCACTTTTTTAGAGGTACCAGCGAACGATCCTTTCATTCAGTAGGAGCAGAGGAAAAAGTATGCTAATTAAGCATGAATACAACATTTATAAAAAATAGATGGCTGAGGCTATTACGTTGGCTGTATTGCTGTAGCTCACGATGTTTTTGTCAAAAATATTTAAGTTTACGATCTTTCCTTAGACAGTAATCTCGACTAAGACACACTCGTCTTACAGATATTACAATACATATGTCTATCACATACTGACACGAGACTCTGATGCCATTTGCCAAAACATGTTACCTAAATGCCAACTCAAACAAGTTCAGTACATGTCCACCTCAATATGCTTTGTAAGCTAGAGAACGGCTCTTCATACTACTCCGGGCAAGCAGCGATGATGATATAACATGAATAACGCATACCATAAAGCCTTCGGCATCATGTTCGTGAGTACTTCAAGTTTATTTTCCATTTACTTATTTACTTAGCGCGAAAAAAAACATTAACTTACCATGTGTAACCCAAAGGAGAAGCAAGACACAACTGCCCAAAAGTACTTTCATTTTCCTAATCTGGTGTGCCAGTGGTCATCACCCCGCAGAGCCTGGTTTGATGTACAAGGATGTTAGATTGCTATCTATTATTAGTCCAAGTGCCTATAGCTGCAATTATTTTTCGACCAAGGTAGTTCAAAGAGAACATGTGCGCTAAGAGATAAATATAAGCCCTTTAGAGCAACTGTGTTTCCGCGATGACCTCAACGAAAAACAATCGCCATTGTTTCTACAGAGCTTCAAATACACCTGCCTGAAGCATTCTAAGCCCACTGCCTTCGATTGAATGTCATCTTATGTTGTACTTCAGGTTGACTGTATTCGTAGCAAACTGCGTCAGCACACAGAGGTCCTTCGAGAGTTCGGCGCATAGAACGTTCGGGCCGGAATAACGAATCAGCTGAATAGCTCAGTTTAGCGGCAAAGATCACCCAAACACGCATTTTATGCATTAAGAGAATGAAGGACAACTGGGTGGCTAGGTGCGATAAATATTCCGGGTGCGCACAAAGAGAATGTCCTTTTCAATTAAAACACTACCTTGAAGTCAGCCTGTTTCACTTTTTCTATCCGAGTTCAAAGTTGAAGCAAGTGGGCTTTTTCGTCCTCAGCCCTAACTGGAAGTATGCGTCGATCGCTACTTGGTAGTACAAATAGTTTGCTTCAGTTCTAATACAGCGTAAATATAAAATAAGACGGAAACTGCACAGATGTCAGAACGCTCAACTTGAACGCTCCGTTGTGCTACCTCGACTGGCTTCGACTGACGTTGAATGTATGTTTGCTGCAGCTAATTATAGAAGAAACGTGGGTGTAATTTACCGAAAAAATTCTGCTACACTTCCGCCTGACCAGGGGTCTAATAAATTCACTTGGCAATTCCATTTTCAGATGCGAAACAGCCCTTTAACTCATGTGTGTAACGCCCTACGCATATGCGTCCGTACGAACGCGCTGCAACGCGTTCCCCTCACCGCAGGTTTTGGCG